CAATCGGCCTGCGGCGCCGCCGGCCGCACGGCCTCGGTGTGCGAACCCAGGCCCGGCGCCGCCGCCTCCGCCTCCTCCGCCGCCGCCTCCGCGGGGGCCGCCGCCTTCGGCAGCTTCTGAGGCAGGGCGATGGTGGGGCCGGCGTCTCCTTGGCTGAACAGAACCGCGTTCTGCGTGACGAAGCTGTCCTGCACGGTCTCTGTGAGCGCGGACGAGAGATCGGAATCGGCCCAGTTGTCTTTCTCTTCGTTGATGATTTGCATCGTGGGGCACGGAGGCCGAGACTGCTCTTCCATGAGGTCGCGCAGGTTTTTCGGCTGGGTGCGGGTGTCGCCGCCGCCTTGCTTGCCTATGCCTTTAATTTGCAAGGTTTCCGCTGCAGCGAGAAAGTCGGTCATTTCCGTGGACAAAACATTTGCCTCACCGCGGTACATATATTCTATAATGGACTTCAAAGAACGAAATTTGACGTCCTTGAGAATTATGATTGGGTGTTTATCACGATTCTCGTTCAGAAGTATCTGCAAAAGAAAACAATTTGCTTAAAATCACAAAGTTAATAGATTTATTTACACGTAACTAATGTTCTACATGTCCGAAAAAATCACATTCCTAATCTGAAAGAGTTTATTATCACAAACTCATGTCATATATGTGGAGTGTACATGCAAATATCAAGTTCATCAAAAAATATTTTTTCAGAAACAGCGAAAAATATATTGTTGTCAAGTTATCGCCTTTTCAAACAATGAACTGTCTGATGTGCTGTTTAAGAGTATTATTACAATAGTCTACGAATACCGCTATCAAGTCAATTATTTATAATTACGACGATATTTCAATTTAAAAGTTGAACATGTTTGCTCTTGCTTTCAAAAATTGAACGCGTGTGCTCTTGTGAGAAGCACCGGCGGACATGTTTGATTTTGCATAAAAAGACGGCTACTATTATTAACATTTGATTGATTTCAAAAGCTTAATTTTTAACACTGACAGTTCCTTGATGCAGTGTATGAGGATATACAGTCCGTTGCGGACGTTATGTGTAAGATCGAGAAGTCTGAACAAAATTTGACACGTGAGATCATATCAGATAATCTAAGTTATTTTGTTAACGAGCCCGATCGTATAAATTAGTAGATCAATTAATTAAGAAAAACATACTTAAAACCCAGGTCTTTTTGAAAAAGCATAAAAATTTACTCATCATTCCGGCCGACAAAGGTGCACTGTTGCCAGACGTACCAGGATCTAGGTATTTTAACTAAGATTTTATGGAACATACCATGTTCCATAAAATCTTGGTTTAAAATAGGATGAAAATATTCTGGTGCGTCCTCCAGAATACTTTCCAGTGCGTCCCGTAGTATATGGAATTAATACATCGGAATATGCACTTTCAAAATTATTAAGCTCATTGTTGAAAAAACTACTACCAACATCTAATTTAGTACCTCGTAATTCGATGATGTGGTAACGAAACAAGTTCAATTCGTCCTTGCCGACTTCGTGATTTCTCGTGACATCGTGCAGATGTATCCCTAAATTCCTCTCGAGTGGATTTATGAAGAGAAAATAGTGTAGCTTTAGATATGATAGCTGTTAGATTTATTATGTTAGATGTTATTTATAAGCACGTAAATGCGTGACCTAAGGGAGCTCATTGTAAGGAAATTTGAAACACAAAGTACTTTAAGAGATAAACTATAAACTATACAAACAATATGTTTATCATTATCGTAAAACAAGATGCTAATAATGTACTGGATAAGTTCAAATTTTATCACTATAAAACAAAGTTAACAATAGAAACGGAAGTGAATTTCACAATAAATTATTTAGATCTCACATTGTCGTTGTCATTAATTGGTACACAAAATCTATTTATTCTGGTTCTATATTAAATTTTAGATCATTACGCAAAGACTAAAACTGCCATTGTTTCAAATCTGGTTGAAAACGTCATTAGAATATCTGTCCTCACGTTTATTCAATTCAATTTACACAAAATCTTCGGCTGTTTTTAAGAAATCAATACCCTATAAAATTTCTTGAGAATGAAATTTGTAGAAAACTCAATGAATTGAGAAGAAATGCTACTATGAGACTTACGAACTCGAACAAAAATGATAATGAAATGAGATGCAAAAATGTAGTTTCGTTCGTACCAAAATTTAACAAAGTGATTAATGATTTATGATGCGGGTGAGATGGTATAATTTTAAATATAAATTCATTGTTCAGCAAACATGAATTCATAATTCACAGGAAAGTCAATGTACCCAAGGAATTAAAATCCAATGTTTATAGAAAACAAATTAAAAATTGCCATTATTCATGCATAGGTCGACAACTTAAGCTCCGTGTGCAAGAGTACAAGAATAAAATCAGACAACCAGATTATCCGCACAATTCAATAACTACGCATAGACTTGAAATGGGACAGAGCTTTGATTTTGAAAACCCTATTATGTTACACCAGGAACCTAGATACCACTCACGCTTGTGCCTAGAAAAGTTAAATAGTAAAACTCATTTAACTCTAAACACCATGATAGAAATGTCAACATTTATGAAAATCTATCTATTAATGTGCTTGTAAATTTTAAGCAAAAGATTTTGCCAACATGATCAGCTCAATTACAGAAATTTCACGTTCACGATATTTTCACTAGATAGCAGCACTGTTCTCTGCCCCTGCTCTTTCCATGTTATTTCCCCTTCTTTCTACCCTTAACACAAACTTTTCTCATCACTGCAGCTGTGTAAGCGCCGGATAGTCAAAACGGGGTCTACACGAAGTGCGCTTTGGACCTGTAAGGTATGTTTATTTAACGTCTTTTTGGCAACCTGACACATTTGTTGTATAGTTGTATGTTGTATTGTTGTATGTTGTATTATATAATTGTGAATGTATTGTTTCGACAATTTATTCTGTACAAATACTTTATAAAATGTAGACAGTATGGATGTGTATCTTACTATTCAATTTAGCTGGAATTTTGAAGTTTATTGTAATCGTTCTTAAATGAATTCTTAGCTTGTCAACTTTTTACATTTTACATGATGTACATAATGATGTCTACTGTTTTCCAGTATTTGAAAGAATGTTTTTCATATATAGGTATTTTTGTAAGCCTTAGAATGTTAAGATGGAGGAAACAGTGCACCTCCGAAACGTTATTAGCAGTTAATAGGCAGATAAAAATTTGTCAATTTTTTTAAGATGCCAGTTTAAAAATTTAAACAATAAAAGAACCGGTGATTGTAGAAAAATGTATAGACCTTTCAATGATAAAAAAATCTGATTTCAGAAGTTCTAGCAATAGATCTGTGAAATCCAAGCCATGGTAATTTTATATTTCTGAATTATTGCGATACTTAATCGTCTAATAGTTAGTATATTCGTTCATTGCACTTTGCTGAGAACGTCTGGCATTCTATTTTTATCATTTCCCGTTAGCATGTTGAAATTTGATCGCTGCGCTGCGCGATATCTGTCAGAAACAGCGTGCAATGGCTCCAATGCATTCTGAGCTCCTGGTGCTAGCGGTAGGTGTCATGGCATTACTTTTAGCCGTGTCTATACGAAGGACCCACTGAAAATGTAATATTTTGTCTTATCTAGGATCGACTGTGACTATTTATTTTCGAAGAGGAAGATGATGTGCAGGGGACGTCTGTAGGGAAATGAAAAAAATCTGTTTGTAGGCAAATATTTTATTTTTACAAACAGTCAAAGCTACTGCAACAAATTCTATAGCTAATGTAACCATTTTTTGGCCTCTAAAGAAATGAAATCCATATGATCATCTTCTGAACAATCTCAATTATTCTTCAGTTCTGCTATATCCATTACAGTTTGATTTTCACCTATTGGCCCATCAAGAACAAAGGGATATCAATTATTGCAGGTCAGGAGTCTGAAGTATTCTCTCCATTTTTCTCCTAAAAGTTCAGTTCACCTGCTCCATTAAATCTCTTATCCTATGGTATACCCCTTTCAAGTGACACCTGCTGGAGGCTAAATTGTACCGTATTTGTAAATGAAAAACCACGTTTCCAAAAGGTCAAAGTAGGAACTTAATCTAATCTAAAATATTGGTGTGGGATATCTTTGACTGTATGGATCTTCTTTCCTTTCATTGTTTTTTGAATAATGATTCGCTTCACATTTCTGATGTTCAGTACGTTCTTGCATATACTACTGAAGGTTTTGATATGAAGACTTCACAGGCGGAATAAACCACGCTGTATGAGCACTCAAGTGATCGTGAATATTGGCATCTTCCTGGATACGTGGTCATGTCTTTTATAGCTTGCAACAACGCTAATGGACATTTTGAATTTTACCTGAACCTCGTATATTTACAAGTAAAATTATTAGGAATATTATTATTTGCATATGCTCCTCCACATCAAGACAGAAGCTGACGGTTGTTAGTATTACTGCAATGCTTACTCAACTTTTCCCTCCGAACATATTTGTTTTTACATGAACGCTCCTCATATTTTTAAAAGAAAAATGGATTTTCATTGTCCGAACAACTGGTGCTAAAAAGAACCCAACCCAAGAAAGAATGCGGAATTTCTTCTTATAGATTATATATTTTTGGGGTTCTCGTTTGAAATTGTAGGTTTGCTATCTATAGTTTTGTAACACTGTTTCTTTTATAACACTGTTAAGAACCACTCAATGTTAACGACATGGGTCTTGTGAAATAACGGAAGTTCTGAAAATATATTTTTTTAAATCCAGGAATGTTTCTACGGGTAATGAAAATAAATGTCTTGGCGAATTCATTTCAATTTTCACACACGTACGTCGTCCACCCACATAGTAAAGAGAAACTACTGTAATGCTACGGTAAAAAATGGCGTTTTTTACCCAAAATGTTATTTTAAGGGTCCACGGTATCGAAAAATGAATAACTCTTCTTCCTATAAGTAGTAAATTGAAACATCCCCCAATGAATGTAGTCAGAATCCTCGATGTGTGGTCCTTGATACCGAAAACTCGAATGACGTCAAAATGTCTCCTGTCAGTCCATCCGTCTGTATTAAAAAGTTGCGTTTATAGCGGACTTTCGTATAAATTGATATTTCCCGATCAATCTGAAGGAACTCAAGCCCCTGCGAGTTTAAAACAGATAATTACATGAAGCCTTAACATTTTTTTAAAAAAAATATCAAAAATGGTTTGAATTTAATTTTTTGTGCTTGCATGTCGTAAAAGACACTTTAAAATAGTTATTGTCTCATTAACGTTAAATCCTTGGCATTTCGAAAAATGCAAACGTTCTAAATTTTTCAGCAACAACTTACTAACAAAATATTGAAATCCTCCCCCTGAATGTAATATATTCTTAAATGGCACATCTTAAAAAAAGGTCGTGTACTATTTTTCGAAAATAGATTTTTTGAGTAATTTTGCGTGAAATGTAGGCTTTTCAAGCAGTTATTTTTTCAAAAACAGCTCCAATTTTGTTCTTTGAATTTTCTTTTAAGAGACCCTTTAAAA